GACATCCCCCGTTGAGGGCCTGACCCGAGTCGACACACAGCGCGGAGAGCATCCGCTGCGGAGAGGATCCGCTGCCGAGAGGATCGGCCATCACTCGAGAGAGCATCTCGTGTTCGTCCGCGTGTTTGGTGAACGCGCGCCCCAATCGCCGGACCTGTGAGAACCCAGCGCGGGGTCTCTCACACGCACCCGTTGCGCGCCCTACACTTCTCTGGCCACCCATTATTGTCCCCCAATAGTGGCAGCCGACCGAACCCACCCCTGGACTCAACCGATACCTCGCATTCATTACATATAGATAAATAAATATTTAATAAATTTAGTAACATTTCTATCATTTATTTTAAATTTAAAATAGAGAACAGTTCTCTATTTTGTTCAAATACAGGTCCAAATAGAGAACTGTTCTCTGAAATAGAGCACAGGTGGTCACGCTGTGTATAAATAATATAAAGTTAGTAACTTAACATTACATTATATAAATTCTTTACATAAATAATAAAACTCTGATTTTTTGGGAATAAAATGAAACATTATATAATGATTGTCTGTATATTTGTAAATAATAAATTAAGATAACCGTCAAGGACAGATAGCGGCAATATTTGTACAAACACAAATTGATAACAAGCATTATTGATATCATCATTAAATTCTAGTCTACGTGTAAATTATATGTGTATAAAAATACCAGTGTTTGTAATAATTAACTACAAAACTTAACTAAATACTTGTTCAATAAAACTTTGATTAATTATGTTTATACCTAAACAAAGTATACAAGCATTGAGAATATGGTGGACACAACTGTTACCACATTAGGCTATTATAAAGCCCGGGGTTTGGCTCAACCCATAAAAATATTGTTAAAGTATGCGGGCGTGGAGTTTACGGACAAATACTACGGCAATCTTAACGCTAAGAATGTAGACGAGATTAAGGCCGAGTGGTTTAACGCAAAGTTCACCCTGGGCCTCGACTTTCCAAATGTACCATATTACATTGATGGGGCAGTCAAATTGTCCCAGAGTACAGCCATTATGCGACACTTGGCCCGAAAGCACGGACTGGTGGCCACCGACGAGACCGGACTCATACGCCAGGATCTGGTGGAGCAACTGGTGGTCGACATTAGAAACGGGTTTAATAACCTTTTGTGAGACACTAACTTTGACATCGAAAAAGTTAAATATTTGGCCGAAACACTGCCCCAACAGTTGGACGCGTTGTCCCGGTTTTTGGGTACCCGTCAGTGGTTTACCGGTAATCACATTAATTATGTAGACTTTTTGGCTTATGAACAGTTGCAGCGGTTCCGTCTCTTCAGTCCCGATACCGTCGATAAGTACCAGAATTTAATTAAATTCTTATCCTGTTTTGAGAGTTTACCGGCGATTAAGGCATACATGAAATCACCTGAGTTTATAAGTTGGCCATTCACTGGACCAAACTATGCATGGGGCTTCAATGGGTAATTTTTTATTAATGCTGTAATTGCTTTAATATTAATAAAATTAATGTTGTTACAAATACAAATCACAATTTAATACTTTGATTGGATATGGGTCATAAAATGGAAAATTGGTTATAAATTAATTAATTTAAATATAATGATATTGATTTTTATATTGATTTAATGCTACCTGACACATTACAGATTAATAAGTTATAATTAAGTAATTATATTTTTAATTAATAATAGACAAATATAAACTAATGTATATTGTTCAATATGATATACTTGACTTACTAACCACATAATAATACACCAAAATCTATATACAAGTACAATATTACATTATAAATTATATTTATTAGTTACCTGTATAAAAGTTTATGCATAAAAACTCTGAGTTTCTAATTTAACAACATTATTTATGTTAATAGGTGCCAAACCAGATTGTGTTTATTATTTTATAAAGCTAGTATGAATAATGCCGGTTTTTGATTAATATCTGGTAATTTAATCAATTACATATTAATACATCAAGTAAACAGTTCCAAGAACTGTCATTTTTAACTAGCTTTTAAATAGCACTGTTTAATCTGCGCTCATAATAATAAGCGTATTAATTAAATAAAAGTGAAAATAATTTGTTTATCACAATAAGTGTTGTTAATAAAAAGTACAAGTAATATAAAATATAAAAATATAAAAAGTATAAGTAATATAAAAAATATACAACATGTCCAACACTACTGTCCCCACAGTTGGCTATTATAAGACCCGGGGTAGGGGTCAGTCCATACGGCTTATGCTCAAGTATGTGGGCGTAAAATTCACAAATAAATACTACGACAACTGTTACGGAGGCACTGCTGAAGAAATGCTTAAAGGTGATTGGTACAAAGTAAGATTCACCATGGGCCTAGACTTTCCCAACGTACCGTATTACATGGATGGTGCTGTGAAACTGACCCATAGTATAGCCATTATGCGACACTTGGCCCGAAAGCACGGACTGGTGGCCACCGACGAGACCGGACTCACACGACAGGATGTGTTGGAGCAACAGGTGATGGACATTAGGGCACCGTTTGGTAACTTATTGTGCAGTAAAGACTTTAAGACCGAAAAAGTCAAATACTTGGCCGAAACACTACCCCAACAGTTGGACAGTTTGTCCCGGTTTTTGGGTACCCGTCAGTGGTTTACCGGTAATCACATTAATTATGTAGACTTCTTGGCGTATGAACTGATGGATCGTTTCCGTGTCTTCAGTCCCGAAACTGTCGATAAGTACCAGAATTTGGTTCAATTGTTGACCCGTTTTGAGAGTTTACCGGCGATTAAGGCATACATGAAATTACCGGAGTTTATAAGTTGGCCATTCACTGGACCAACGTCTCAGTGGGGGTTCAAAAAATAAATTAATATTTATGTATTTGTAATATAAAATTAAATAATTAAATAGCATTAAGAAAATATATATTCCTGTTATTGATTAATAATTATTTAATGCAAAATTGCCAAAATTACACTTTATATTTATTTTATTAATTAAAATTTAAAATTATTACTAAAAATAAACAAAATTTTACTAAAATTGTACCCCCAAACAAATGGTCTAACTATATTTAATTTAGAGCTTAATATTTACAAACAATTCATAGTTTACATTTATTTTTTTGGAATAATAAAGGTAATAATTACCACAAATTACATTATACAAATTTACATGTTACTTCTACCGGTAGATGTATGTAATATATGAATTGAGTCATAAAATAAGTGCAATTCTAGTGCACAAATTCTAGCTGCAGTGTGTTTACAGGAATACAGTGTATATACAGTGCACTTTTTAGTGCACTATTCGTACTGTACAGTAGTATAGCATGAATTAAACTTTAATTATTAAAGGCTTTGAATGATAAGGCGGTTTGTAGATTAGTGGGGGTAAATAGGACTTTCATCAAGGACAGCTATAATAACCAGTTATACAAACTATACAACTATCTTTTTAAAAATAATGGCTGCATTATTTACACTGTTTTTGCATAGATTTCTGTTCACATAGTGCCAATAAACCTACCATTATTGTTCACAAGAATGCTGAACACTTTGTACATACTGAGTTACCAATAGTTACCATTATTGATTCGACTATTTACTGTAGACTACGTGAGAATTTTATTTGTGCAGTGTATAAATACCAGTGCTCTTAGAAGTAAAACATAATTTAATAATAAGTGAAACATATTTTCATATTCACTATAACAGTGTTATTAATAAAAGTAATATACACAACATATACAACATGTCCGACACAACTGTTCCCACGTTAGGCTACTTTAAGGTCCGGGGTTTGGCTCAACCCATACGACTGTTGCTGAAGTATGCGGGCGTGAAATTCACCGACAAATACTATAGCATGGGATCCACTTCTGAAGAGGCGATTAAGGAGGACTGGGCTAATAAGAAATTCACCCTGGGCCTTGACTTTCCAAATAGACCGTATTATATCGATGGATCGGTCAAACTCACTCAGAGCACAGCCATTATGCGACACTTGGCCCGAAAGCACGGACTGGTGGCCACCGACGAGACCGGACTCACACGACAGGACGTGTTTGAGCAACAGTTGGCTGACATCAAGAGTGGTTACATTAAAGTAGTGCACAGTAAAGACGTTGAGACAGAAAAAGCAAAATATGTGGCCGAAGTACTGCCCCAACAGTTGGACAGTTTGTCCCGGTTTTTGGGTACCCGTCTGTGGTTTACCGGTAATCACATTAATTATGTAGACTTCTTGGCGTATGAAATACTCTTTCGTTTCCGTCAACTGAGCGCCGAAAATGTTGATAAACACCAGAATTTGGTTCAATTGTATAACCGTTTTGAGAGTTTACCGGCGATTAAGGCATATATAAATTCACCCGAGTATATAAATTAGATTCCATCAATGCCTCTTTATCGGGTTTCTAAATGTAATTTGATGTATTTTATGATTTAATACTTTAATAAATTAAGCAAAATTATTTGAACTTGTTGATTAATTTTTAATTTATGACATTTAAAATATTGTTGATTATAAGCTACCGATATAAACTGTAGATAACATTATATATAAACATACAAAATAAGTTATGTCCGACAGTAGGCTATTATAAAATATTAATTATAAATTATTTAAGAAATATTTGCTAAAAATTTATTTAATTAATTATAAATAATTCTATATACGACAATAAATATTATTTTGTTATATAATTATATTATAAACACTACAGTATATACAGTATAACATGAAGTACTTTATATAACATACCGTACTATATATAATATACTGTGTATTCTGTATGTTATATACTATTAAAGCGACCACAACTATAGCAGTTATATAACATGTTTTAATACAAATTTACTTGTGCTGTAATTTTGCAACCATATTGAAATAATTGCCTGTTGTATATTACAATTATTACCTACTTGTGTTTTGTTGTTCTTTACCCCTAATCAATGCAAGGGTTAAATAAATAACAATTGTTTTCTTATAAGTAAAAAACAAGTATTTACTTGTAGTGAAAAATAATTTTAATAATTAAATATATTATATACTGTACAACATGTCGGACACATCGGTGCCAACACTGGGCTATTTTAAAGTCCGGGGTTTGGCTCAACCCATACGACTGTTGCTGAAGTATGCGGGCGTGAAGTTCACCGACAAATACTATAGCATAGGATCCACATCTGAAGAAGCTATTAAAGAGGACTGGGCTAATAAGAAATTGACCCTGGGCTAGTGCCCCAAATGTTAGTTAAAACTCATTCCTGTCCCGTCCTGTCCTGAAGATATCTATTCCTGTCCCGTCCCGATCCTGTACTAAATGTCAAAATATTTTCCTGTCCCGTCCCGTCCTGTCCTGTAATTTCCTGTAAATCCTGTCGGCATATATAAAGGCTTCCAAATATTTATTGGCGCCTATCGTTTGGCTATGCTCTCGTAGGCGCCGTACAGTCGGATCCCTTTGTATTATACATATACCATATCATACAGTACTTACAAATACTGAAATTAATTTTTTAAAAATATTTTATTGCATTTTCCTGTCTTAAACCCATTCCTGTCCCGTCCTGTCCTGAAGCTATCTATTCCTGTCCCGTCCCATTCCTGTAAGCAAACGTCAAATCTTTTCCTGTCCCGTCCCAATCCTGTACAGGAATGGGACGGGACAGGAATTTACAGGATTCACGTCTTGTTTTTGGGAGACTACCCTGGGCCTGGACTTTCCCAATAGACCATATTACATTGATGATACGGTCAAACTATCCCAGAGCACAGCCATTATGCGACACTTGGCTCGAAAGCACGGACTGGTGGCCACCGACGAGACCGGACTCGTACGCCAGGATGTGTTGGAGCAACAGTTGGTGGATATCAAGAGTGGTTACTTTAGAGCATTGAAAAGCAAAGACGACGAAACTGAAAGAGTCGGTAATTATCTGCCCCAACATTTGGACAGTTTGTCCCGGTTTTTGGGTACCCGTCAGTGGTTTACCGGTAATCACATTAATTATGTAGACTTCTTGGCTTTCGAAATACTCTTTCGTTTCCGACAATTGAACGCTGAAAATGTCGATAAGTACCAGAATTTGGTTCAATTTGTGATCCGTTTTGAGAGTTTACCGGCGATTAAAGCATATATAAATTCACCGGAGTATATAAATTAGATCATCAATGTCTCTTTAAATAAGTTTTTTAATGTAACTTTATACTTTATTATTTAATATTGTAATAAATAATTAAAATTATTTTAAATTGTTTTTATTTATTAATTAATGACATTTGAAATATTGTTGATTCTAATAAATAAAGACTTTATACAATATTACAGGCATTAAGAATTTACTAACTATTCGTTCAATTATATAATTAATGCAAAAATAGTGTTCAATTTTGTTAAGGTATCTATTTATTTAATTAGATTACTATTTATTATAATTATAATGCACTTTATAGAAATTATAATTTTACCCTATTATTTGTAGGACATTTATAGCATGTAATACAGAATGTCTTATATTAATACCAATATGGTAATTTAATAAGCATTAAATATGTACAAATAATAATTTCCCTTCCACTTAAACACCTAAATAAAATTTTTAATTTTTAATCACACAGGTATATTATATAACGTAGACAAAACTTTAATAAATTGAAAATATAAATCATATTATGTTACTAACTGTAATATAAAACAAAATAATGTAATAAGTACGATAACATTTAATTAATACTGTTCAAGTACAATTTCAGGGCTTAATTATCAAAGTAAATTTCAAGGGCTGATAATGCGAAAATTATATTATATTTATTACTTTTTGTACAAAATATACAATAATTATAATTTTCACTTATATTATGCTCAATTGTGAGTATATAAATAGCTGGACATCTAATAAAAAACAAGGATCACACAGCGATGCTATACGTTAACCACTATTCGGGTATTGCTCAAAGAATAGATTTTTATAAAGCTACCGAATTGGAAAAACAAGCATTTGCTTAAAGTTATTTTAACGAGTAGACAATTTGCCTTTATTAATGTACTTTATTAATTAATATTAATAAATAAAAGTTTGAATTTAGTGCCATGTTTCTATCATTAATTTTATATAGTATGCTTGTATCAAAATAAATTCTGATCACACAATACAAATGAAATAGCACTTTATAAATTAATTCATAGGTTTTATTATTAACATTTAACATCAATACAATTTAGTACAATTTTAGTTCATTACGAGTTCATCAGCCCATTTAAAACTGGCGCGCTCAATCAATTTAGCCTATCTCTGCCTCTGCTCGTATGAACATTGCATCACACAATGCAATACATTGAATGTATGGATGTGTGTGTGTGTGAGGGAGAGAAAGCATTGCATTAAGCCCACCACCAGAGGTAGAAAGCAATAATCTTAATAAATATAATAGGATTTATTTCATAGTAATTCGGAATTACTAATTCCACTTTTAAATAAACATATAAAATGTACTAAATATTTTGACGTTTCATGTACTTAATAATTTATTTGTTAAAAAATACTGTAAATTGTACAAAAATTGTAAATTGTACTAATTTTATTAATATATAATGTAAAAATAAATTAAACAAAAGTATTTTTTATAAATTAAAAAAACAACCAATATCAATTATCATATGGGGGTAAACCGAGTGATTCGGGCCGGAAATCATCAAACGTTTTGCAAATAACGGTAATCTTATCGGCGATCGCATTAAATGAGCACAACTTCTGGTCGTTAATCAACAGCGTCTTCATCCCTGACTGCACGGCACCTGTGATACCGGTCAGCGAGTCCTCCACTATCAGCACGTTATCAATAGATTTCGGAGGTATCGCAAAACGTTTGGCGCAAATGTGATACACATGTGGGTCCGGCTTATTGACCGTAACGTCCGGGTCGTCACCGCCGGCCACGGCGTGACTGAAATACAGGCCGTCGTCCAGAAACGGCTTAACTATTGACCTATAGTGGGCCACATCGCGTGCTTTTCTACCGGTGGCTATAGCCATGTGTACGCCGTGTCGGTGCAGGTGTTTCACCAGCCGCTCGGCACCGGGTGTTAGTGCAAATTGTGTTGACCCCACAAACCGTGTTAAAAAGTCGTGGTATAGTTGTTTGAGGTCAGTTTCGGTTAGTACCAAGTTTAGCGAGTGCAGCAACTTTTGTATAAACAATGCCATGTCGGTCACATTTGGTACGTCAGCTAGATGAATTTAGTTTAGTATATGATTTAACAATATTTTTTTAAAATTATCAATATGATTTATTTTATCTTACATTCAATTTCTGTGGACAACACTTTTCCATGACTTTTAGCATAATCTCTGATGATATCCAATAATATTTGCGGTGAATTAATGAGAGTTCCGTCCAAATCAAACAATACGTGTGTTATATTGGATGCCATTTAGTAAACTATTATTGTATATAATTTAATTAGTATCTAGATATATAATAAAACTGTTTATAATGTAATTCACAATTTAATAATAATGGTAAAACGAGGGCTGTATATACTGTTTATATATTGATACTATTGTAAAACTTGTACTAAACATACTGTAGAAACGTTGGTATTAAAATAACATAGTGACCTTGGCAAAACACTCATTCAGTACAAAGTTGTTATCCTGGCAAATGCAATGTACGCATGTGTATGTGAATTATTATAGTTGTACTTAAACAATTCAAATTTTATATACTGTACATTTATTTAGTGTTAGAATTGCCTAGGTCCTAGGCCTTAGAACAATTAATAATATTTAACAATATTTATGATATTTTATTATCATTAACACTTACTTTTATTATTATACGTGTTAATTAACTAAAAATATTACTTATATTTATACAATATAAAGTTTTTAAAATTTTTATTTTATGAAAACAATAATGTATTTTCTAAATACTGTATTAATAATACAGTATTATTGATAGTATAACTGTAAAAATATACTCTAATGTTGTAAAATAATTTAAATAATTTCTTTGTGATTTTAACAATATTATTTGTAATTTATAAGAATATTCTTATTACAATATAATTAATTAGTATATATTTACTTTTACAATACAATAGGCATAGCATATGAGTTAATAAAATACAATAAAATAAAGTGTACAGAATATGTATACTTTTACATGTGTATGGAATATACAGTAATTTAAATTGATGTAAATTACATGTAATTTTACTAATATACACATTGTTTTAAAAAGAATTTATTATAGCAAATAAAACATAAGTTAGAAGTTTAATGCATTTTTTATTTAAGTTAATTACACAATTATATTTTTAAATTATTGAGTTATAAAATAAATATGGTATACCATTATCATCATCATAGCAGTAAATTATTATTATTATTATAAAGTTATTAACTACATATATGCCAGAATACCCAGATATCTCATGTATCAAATCCAGTTGTGTTTGACCTCCTAATTACCCGTCGGTAAGTATTTGTTACAATTATATAAGTTGCAAAAAATAATAAGTACTATAATTCGGCGTAAGTACTAACATATTGTAGGACTCAATCGAGAAATATTGCCGATATAGGATGACATATACACCCTGTATATACTTTACACATTGTTCTAATTTATAGCAATAAATTTATATATTATTGCAAATAAAATATACATAAAAGTTTAATGCTTCTCTTAATTTAATTTAAGATGCATCTTTAGTTAGTTACATTATGCTATTTTTAGATTAATTGAGCAAAATATATATGTTACCATAATATTATCGTTATCATATTGTAACAAAATATTACAAATTATTCTAATGATAAGTACTTATGCATTGATAACAGAGCGTTTAAAAATGTTTATATGCCCCATAATTTTAGAACTAATCAAGATAATTTGATTCTGTTTTCAGATTCTAAGAACATTAACCCGTGTCTACATATTCTACAAAATTAATCATTTACATTTTATAGAATCCATAGAATCTGACAACAGAATCAAATTATTTTGATTACATTTAAAGTTATGGGGCATGGAAACATTTTTTTTTCTAAACGCCCTGTTATTATATCGTGATAGCCGTTTATTAGCCTTATGCACGAATTTTTTAACACATTAATATGATAGTTAATTTGTAATCTAATTGTAGCAATTTATTTTATCATGTATAACATATACTACACAAATTACCAGACATTACATACTATGAAGTTGTCAACAACTAGAGTATATAAAGAACAGCGAACCGTATAGTAAAAACATAACTTAATTATAAGTGAACATAAGTTAACTGTTCATTGATTACTGTGATTAATAAAAGTTATACCTAATATACAAACTCATATACAACATGTCCGATACAACTGTCCCCACGTTAGGCTATTTTAATACCCGGGCTTTGGGTCAACCCATACGACTGCTGTTGAAGTATAAGGGCGTGAATTTCAACGACAAATACTACGGCAATCCGGACGCAGACTGTATGGAGACGTTTAAAGGTAATTGGTTTGATGTGAAATTCACCCTGGGCTTTGACTTTTCCAACGTGCCATATTACATCGATGGTTCCATGAAACTAACCCAGAGTAATGCTATTTTGCGATACTTGGCCCGAAAGCACGGACTGGTGGCCACCGACGAGACCGGACTCGTACGCCAGGATGTGGTGGAGCAACAGTTGGTGGACATTAGGAACGGGTTTTTTGGCGTAGTAGTAGCGCCTGACTTTGAAACTAAAAAAGTCATATATATTGCCGAAACACTGACCCAACAGTTGGACGCGTTGTCCCGGTTTTTGGGTACCCGTCAGTGGTTTACCGGTAATCACATTAATTATGTAGACTTCTTGGCGTACGAACTGCTCGATTGGTTCCGTCTCTTCAGTCCTGAGACCGTCGATAAGTACCAGAATTTGGTTCAATTGTTGACCCGTTTTGAGAGTTTACCGGCGATTAAGGCATACATAAAATCACCGGAGTTTATAAGTTGGCCATTGTTTGCGCCGATCGCTAACTGGGGTTTCAAAAAGTAAATTATAACACATGTATGCCTCGATTTTGGCACAATTTTAGCATACGGGTTGGTTTTCACCACCATGTCATATTAGTATTGTCACTGCACCCGATTGTTTTAGAATTCAATATTAGCACATTTCTGTCACACCACCAATGACATGCTAAAGTTGTGGAGTCATTGTATTTAATTATTATTACCCTCTCTAAAATGTAACCAAAACTAGATTATAAAATTTTATGATTAAAGCTGTAGATTTACATTTGAACAAATTGTTGGTTATGTAAACTCACACGTCAGTGATAAACACGTTAATGACATTTATATGTTTATAATCACAACATATTGTTATCTTATTTTGTTTTAATAAAATATTTTATATCATGTCACAAAAAATTTTAACATAAATGCCTATTATGAATTTAAAAATTTTAATTTATTCTAAATCTTCTCAAAAATATTATTTTTAAATAAATGTATGAATTATAATAAATTTAATGTTATAACAATAATTTACTTCATTCAGTGCTATTGCATAATTTTTTATTAACAATATCAGATTATAATAATTTTATTAGATAAATGTTAGCATAAAGGTTTTCAATTAAGTTTAAGCAAGTATATCATTTATTAATAAAATTGAACCATAATTTTAATTAATCTAGATAAAATAAACCACGTTATTTTAGAACAAACTTAAGCAGTTAGATTAAAAATACTCTATTCTATGCTATTGTGTCACACAATACTATTCTACAATATATAAAATATTCAATATTATTCTGTTATATTCTGTATAACTATATAATAAACATTATATACAGCATAACATACAGTACTTTACATAACAAACAGTGCAATACATAACATCCAGTTCTATATATAACATACTCTACTGTATACTGTATGTTATATAAGAGCCCAAAACTACACAGTTATATTGTTACAAATAACATGTTTTAATACATGTTTACTTTTGCTGTAATTTTACACCCATATTGAAAAGATTGTCTCTTGTATATTATAATACATACTTGTGTTTTGTTGTGCTCTATCTCTAATCAATACAAGGGTTAAAAATAAATGACAATTGCTTTCTTATAAGTAAAACAAAAGTATTTACTTGTAGTAGAAAATAATTTTAAATAAATATATTATATACTGTACAACATGTCGGACACATCGGTGCCAACACTAGGCTATTACAAGATCCGGGGTTACGCCCAACCCATACGACTAGTGCTGAAGTATGCGGGCGTAAAATTCACCGACAAATATCATGAAAATGCGGACACAACTAAACTGGACGAATATATGGTCCCGTGGTTTCAGGTGAAATTCACCCTGGGCCTCGACTTTCCCAACGTTCCCTACTATATGGATGGCGATGTGAAAATAACCCAAAGCAATGCCATTATGCGACACTTGGCCCGAAAGCACGGACTGGTGGCCACCGACGAGACCGGACTCACACGACAGGATGTGTTGGAGCAACAGTTTATGGATATTAGCAATGGGTTTACCTATGGCTTAATGATGAGCAAAGGGTACGACACAGAGAAAGTCAAATACTTGGCCGAAACACTGCCCCAACAGTTGGACGCTTTGTCCCGGTTTTTGGGTACCCGTCAGTGGTTTACCGGTAATCACATTAATTATGTAGACTTCTTGGCGTACGAACTGCTCGATTGGTTGCGACTCTTCAGCCCCGAGACCGTCAATAATTACCAGAATTT